TTCAATAATGCCATGTGTGAGTCTGAGTGAATATATTTGATATTTGTCAATGGTGTCTGCCGTGCCCCAACAATGAAAACCAAACTAAATGCATTGCTAATCATGAGTGAAAAATATTCAGAATATCCACAAAGCCTGGCCATCAAAACCTAGCCTGCATTTTTACGTGAACGTGAACGTGCATTCAGCACATTTTTTTTTATTATTATTGTTTCTTTCAGTACAGTATAAGTCCAAGGACTGATGAACAGGATTGAATAGTATTTGACACTCACTGTTGTTAAATTGAAAATGCCAATTTAGTGAATGAAATCAAAAGCCTATAGGATTTCTTTGGAAATTTGCAAGCTACTGGTATAAAAGGACATTTTCCTGGGAAACTATTTGCCTATGGATACTGAGATGTAAAATGAACTGTATCTGGTCATATGAACATCACTTTATGACTTCAAAGTTCAAACCTAAAATGTTCATTTCTTTTCCACAATTTTTGAACTTGCTATACGTGCAATGTTACAGGCAAAAATTATGTTTTCAAGTGTACAGGGTGAGTAAAAAAAAATGAAACCCAAATGTCGGGACTATTGTTTTAGTGAAGTTCTGCATGTAGCACTTTCAAAATGTAGGATATGAAAGCCCAATTCACAAGCTTTCTTCTAGTACAAGAATCATTCAAATCACTTATGTAATTTTTAAGTTAGGGAATTATTTTAAACACAACCACTATTTTAAAGTTCTGTCCACGGATCACAAAAAAGGTGTGCGTTCTTTCAGCAAAACAAAAACAATTCACACGCCTATGATTAGTTTTTGTTTTGCTGCACCTTTTTTGTGATCCGTGGACAGGACTTTAAAAACGGTGGTTGTGTTTAAAATTCCGTAACTTGAAAAGTACACAAGTGATTTCAATGATTCTTGTACTAAAAGAAAGCTTAGGTATTGGGCTTTCATATCCTAGATTTTGAAAGTGCTACATGCAGAACTTCACTAAAACAATAATGCCGACATTTGGGTTTCATTTTTTTTTTAACTCGCCCTGTATTTAACATTTTGGGGGACAAATTCCTTGTTCTATTAAAGGTTGAGCATTTTATTTGATGTCATCTGACTGTTGCGACATTATTTGTGTTACAAGCATGAAGTTTTAATCATTTGAAGTCTTTTTTTTTTTCAAATAAGTACTTCAAACATAATTGGATAAATAGCAATTCCAGACCACAAAACACCTTTGAAAAGCTCAACTAATGCCGGTAGGAATTGTTACTTTTATAACTTTTTTATTTTCCATGCGAATTGTCACCTGACAGAACAAAAATCGTGCGGGGGCATACCATCTGTGAGTTTATCATGCCAGGGCCAACCAACCATACATGTAATTGCAAATTATGCTAAGGCCCAAAAAAAAAATAGTTCTGCTTCCGATTACATGCCTTCAAAAATAGGGTCGGTCGGTCGGAAATTTTTTTTTTTGGCCAATTTTTTTTATGCAGATTGAATGGGGTATTCAATTATATGCGAAGTTTTAGCCTGAACTATTTCCATTGCACTACGAAAGCTATACACGAAATGGCAACAAAAAGTGAATAAAACCTACCTTTAATTATTGTCAATATATTTACGTTCGATAATTTCAAAAAATAATGGAAAATTCAGGTCGTTCGCACCATATGCACAACGCTAGTCAAGACGCGGGGAGCTGGCCAAAACTCCGAGGTGTGTGATGCGAGCATGTATGGCGAGCGGCCCGCCATGGGCCGACAGACCTGTTTTCACGGTCAAAAATTTCGGGAAACACGCGGCATGTATCACTCCAAATACGAGTAGTGCGATCTCAAAATGAACTCTTGAACACAGAAAATACATACACAGACAAGCTAGATCAATTCTGTAAATTAACTTGCAAAAATGTTCTTTCTCCATTGGTGTTTTCTTGGCATTTTTTACGATGTCGAATCCGACCAGTTGACAGTGGCCTGCACTGCTAGCGCGCTATCGGTCGCGATCGCATAGCTATGGACTGGTTACCGCATTTTCATCATGTCTTCTAAATTGGCCCCTGCGTGGAGCGGCGGGAACCAGTCGTCGCCACATGACATAGTCACCGTACGGACATCGTTTATATCGCGAAGCGAATTTGTAAAAATAACGGAGGTTTCTTTTGAAAAAAAACGAATGTAAGTAAGAAAACAAATAAATACAATCATTTTTTGATGCAAAAGGGTTGTTGAGAGGTATTTTGTGAAGACAGAAAAGACAACAAATTTTTATTTTTATTTATTCAATTTTTTTTTTTTTTTTTTGGAATTGCCGATAACATTTTTAGGGTCGCAGCCTAAAAATAGGGTCGGTCGGGTAACCGGAAGCAGAACTATTCTTTTTTTTGGCCTAATTTATTGTGAATAAATTGTCAGCCATAAAGTTTTAATGCTGCATATATTGTATTTGTTTGATTACTAGAGAGATGTTATAGCAACATATGTTTGAGGCATCCGGGCTTCTGTGAAGAAACCAAACAATATTTTAGTTTCAAAATGGAATTTATCATCTAAATACATTTAATGAACAATAAACATGTTCATTTTCTTCTCTGAAATTTTCCGGAGACAGTAAATCATAGTAAATGGGATTGAATTTAGTAGTTTCAATTTTGGAAAGGGGTGGAAAAAACTGTGCAGCCATTTGACTTGAAACGAAATTATTCATGCAGGTGGGTTCTAAGCCCTAGGTCACAAAACTGAAAGGTGAGCAGTGAATGATGTACAAACATGTATGTGTAAAATTGAATAACTTGATGGATGCCGCGGGTAGCTTGAGGAAACAGGTTTTGTTGCGCTCTTTTGGGGGATTAATTTTACATACCATTCACAGTATTCTGTGAATAATACTAGGCTTTCGGACAAAAGGAGACATTGAAAATAAAATTCCATCTATCCTTCTTTCTGAGAGGAAAAGGTGCATTGTGTTTTGTGGCATTCATTCTGTAACCTTTTATAAACCTGGCCCACTTTAGGGTTCCGCTGTTTTTTAAACAGAGACACATGTGGAAATATAGCTTTTGTTGGGTATAATTTTTTGACAGACTGAAAACGTAAACTGTATGTAGGCCCTATTCTCTTAATTCTTGGTAATGTCATTGTGTGTAAAAAGTTGACCTCCCTAAAATAGGCCTTTTGTTATTTATCAGATTATTATAGAGTTGGTGAAATTTCTGAAAAGTGCGTTTTGTACAGCCAGGGTTCGGCCTACTAACACAAGTTTGTGAAACTTTAATTTTGAGTTTCAGACTTCTCTGAAACCCAAAAATAGTCCCAAGTCTTTTCAAAACTAAGCTGAAGTAGCCACTTCAACATTTCTGTCGCGAAACTTCCGGGTTTTGTGTAAATACCACAATCACCCTTAGTTCTCCTTATGTTTATTTTATTTATCATTTAAAAAATGTATTGGGTGGTAAGTGGCAGTTCTAGCAATTTGAAATTAATCATCCTTGTTTCATATCATTACTTTTTTCTGCTTAGGTAAATTTGAAGTACCGGTAGGTGAGGGAAGTTGTCTTATTCAATATGGCACGAAGAAAAGTGCAACCACTTTATGCAGGGACTGAGGGAGGCACCTTTTTGAAAGTACTTCAAAGAGACATCTAGGGCATATGAACTATGAAAAAGCCTCTATTTTATGATCAGTTTCTGTCACGGACGACGGAGCTGCCCCAATTACTTATAAGTTTGTAATGATCACGAGTTATTGCCGTCGTCAACTGTGACAAATTTCCTAAGCAATAATGAGCCGGATGTAGTTGACATTACTTTTGAAACAATTTTAATTTTGGAATGTCCATAATAACGGTGATGAGTGTTGGATAATATGTTACACTTACAGTATACATAAATAGTAGCTTTGTTACAATACTATTATTAAATGTCACGAACGACGGAGCTGCCCCAACTTCTAAGCAATAATGAGCCTATGTACCGTAGTTGACATTTTGACTTATTTCTTTCGAAACAATTTGAATTTTGAAGTTATCATGATGGAAATGTTGGATACATAAATAGTAACTTTGTTACCGTAATTATTATTAAATGTCATTTGCAGAAATGAGTTTTATGAGGGAATAATTATTAAACTGAAAGTCCTTTTTGTGACCAAAAAAAATGATAGCTTTTGTAAAAAAAACCCACACACACACACCTTAATATGTGGAATACAGCCTGAAAAAAAATCAGAAAATATGTGTTTTGGCCTTTGCCACTATCCAGCTATGCACAAAACAGCTTCGTCTCTTTAATTTTTGGGGAAAAAATAACGATTCGGACTCTTAAATTAACAAAACCTGAGGTCAGTTATTCATGGCAATCAAACTGCAATTTTTGTCCAAAACATGTTGAGAACACATGTCTTTACGGTATGTAAATTTTACATGTGGCTAAAACAGTTGGAGATGTTGATTTTTATGCAGTCACCTGCTTAATTCCAACTCCCCCCCCCCCCACAACTCGGCCACCACTGGCAGCTTCAAGTTTTACAATTTACACATGTATAACATACTAATAAGCACCACATTGTGCAGTTTATTAAAGTGGATCCATTCAGTGAGTTTACTGCCCTCTATAGGTGATAAAAAAGTTTTATGTCACCGCAGAATAATATGAAAGGAAATGGCCCTGTCAGTCAATGTAGCGCCCTCTATTGACCAATTTTGTTTAGTTGAAAACTTTTTGCTATGAATGTTTTGAGTTTTATTCATTTGTTAACATGCTTTCCTTTTTACAAAACATGTTTAAAAAGGAATTTCACTTTGTTTTTTATTTTTTTCGTTTTGAAAGGATTAGGTTTCTGGTGTACTTTGTGCTGTGCTACTGAATATTCATGAGGATTTAAATTTTTAAAAAGGTCTGTTGGGAGCAAGATGGAAGTATGAAAAAAGATCATGTGATACTCCTTGCAACTTAACAGCTCTTTGAAAATTGGCTAATATTCTTGATGTTCTCTTCGTTTCTCAGAGGAGGGAGTCATCAAGTATTCCCGTCGCGGTTCCTACAACTTCCTGAACTCTTTAAGATGGCAATTGAAGTTCTGTGTCTTGGACTACAAAACAAGTAAATTACATCATTTCAACAATGAACTGGTAAGAAAAAAATATCTTATTGATTAAAGACATTATCCAGTTAATCTTCCTACCCCACAACTTCCAAATCCTACCCCCCCCCCCATTTTTTTTTAGTGAGTACTCTATCAAAGTTTAGAGGCTTGACTTTAAAGTTGAAAATTGTACATTTTTGCACCCCCATAAATCTAAACCTACTTGTTAAGCAGAGTATTTTTGTATCATCAGCACAATAACAAATTGTTGTGATCCCACTCAACACTGTCCCCCTCAAGACTCAACCACATTCCAACGTCTTTCTGTTTTGGAATTCACAACCTCCAAACCCTGAGGGGTTACTTTCACAAAAACACCTTGAATCACCACTGACAATACTGTCACTTTCGGTACCCTTCTACTGAAAAAAACAAAACAAGTTTCACTCCAAAAATATACAGACCAATACTTGTGACACTAGTCGTGATAATAAGCCCAACCCCAGAAAGATTTAGGATTGTTGCTGACCCTAATGTGTCTGTGACTTCAATAACACAAGCATTTCAAGGCCACACACCAATTGTCCGGGACCACCGGCCCGGAATAACTCCTATAACTTCCGAGTGACTTCCCTTTGGTTTGTCCATGCAGGACGCCGGGATTGTCCAGGAGAATGCCAGCGGTGTGGTGCTCAGGTTGAACCCATCCAGGATGGAATATTACAGCCGATGGAACCACAGTAGCATGTCCCACCTGGGCCCTAACTTTCTCAAGACGGAGTCCTCTACTCTTCCCAGGAAACTGTCCAACCGTGACCAATTGATCTGTGAGTTTTTAGTTTCGCACTTTGAATTATTTATTTTTTTGTAGGTTACGAATATAGTTGGTGTGCTTTGAGCCAATACATGTACATTGCTCCCACATGTTTTCTCTTGTTATTTGCAAGGTTAATTTTTTGTTTTGGTGTTGTTGTTGTTGTTTTTTGTGTTTGGTTTGGGGGGGGGGGATTTCCAGCTCTTTAATCCCGCTGGGCGTACCGGCTGTTTCGTACGTACCATTCAGACAAAAGGTGAATATTTCAAATTATTTTTTTCCGCGTGCCAAAATGGAACTTCATTACCAAGTTGGAAAATCTAGTGTAGACGGTGTTTTAGTTTGAGGTAATATTGAACCTCATCTGTGTTCGTTTATCAGTCTTTCTCACAAAATGTAGGAAAAAAGTTATGAATGAATGCATTAAATACAATTATTTTTGACTCTGCTGATATTTTTCTCAGTTATATTTTTCTCAGTTGCACTAGATTAACTTACGTTTGCAATGCATAGTTGAGAAACCCCCAGTTAATATTTAACCCTCCTCCCTCAACCTGTATAATTAAACACAAAAACTAATAAATCAGACATAAAGAACGACACAATCAATTTTGAGTTTTGAGTTAGAGTGTCATTTTACAATACATAAATTTACAATACACAAATTTACAAATCGAAAATTTGATGGGCACGTCCATCTTTGCTTGGACAAAGGACAAACTTTCCAATAATTTCCGATTTGTGACCGTAATTTCACCTGCTGTCAAGCAGGTCCTGAATGTCTTAACTCTAAAACCCAGACAGTGAGTAAACAATGGTTGGTGAGGCATGTCAACACTTAAACGTCCACTGTCAAGTGTCTCAAGCAGGTTGCCCGCTGTTACCCAAGATCCTAAAAGCTGTTACCCAAGATCCTAAAAGCCGCGAACCCCTTCACTAAGAACCCCTTCACTAACAGCTCCGGGCACCCTTTGAGACATCCAGTAATTATCATCTGGATAAACATGCCATCACCAATGCTGACAAATTAAGGCTTCACTCACGTCAAGTTGCTTGACTTCTTCAGGCAATTAAGTTGACGGTTTTTGGTTTCGTTTCTTATGGGGGCGAATGTAACTGTTGTCTGGACTTGAGTAATATGATTTGTGGTTTTGATGGGTTATTGAGATGTCAGGGTTGAAAGCTTTCGGTTTCGGTGAACTGGCTTCTAGTGTTGGTGGAAAGATAAAAATCCCCTTGGAGGGGGCGGGGAGATGAGGGGCAGAGGGGAGGGAGTTAAGGAGGGGAGATCGCAGTGCTGTTGATTTGTTGCTAAATTTATTGACTTTGTATGGCATTAAGCCAAGACCTTCAAAGATATCAACTTCCAAGTAGCTGCCTCCTTAGTTGCGAAATTATTCGCACATGGTGTTTCCGCAAACCTTTCAATATTTAGCTGCCTCCTGTCTCTTCAATTCATTTCGTAAAATGCAACATCTTGGTTTCATCCTTTGATACATGTACATCCCCTTTACAGCAAGGCTACGGTACCCCCCCCCCCCCCTCCATGCGCCATCATGGGATTTCTTAGTTATTTTTGGCATATTAATAAGATGTCTGCTTCTTTAAGGTGAACGTTTTCTTAAGAGCTCTTTCTGTTATCCCCCCCCCCTTTTGTTGGACATCTTTTCTACTGAATGTCTATCTTTTCGAGTTGGACCGGTTGCTGTCACTAAAAGTCCAACATTGAAAATAGATGGGCCTGATGGGGGATGTAAAGCACAGATTCAACAGTTATATGCTGTAGGTTGAGCATGCACAGTTGAGACACATGTAATTTTTGCCAACTGGAGCATAATGGGGTCACGTTCCATCCGCCAACAAATGATTGTCCCCTACCCCTTTTCCTCCCCCATCCAACTGATTGAGCCATTGTACTCCACCCCTTCCCCACCACTTCCCCTCCCTTTCCCCACATCAATCATCGCTCTTTGGATGTCTGACCCCAATGTTTTCACATGATACAATCTCAAGACCTCATTGTGCTTGCGCTAAAATTTACCTCATGATAGGATAGAGTGAATCGGAGTATCCCTTTAACGATCAGGAGACAACTTGCTCCCTGCAGAGCTGAAGAAAGGAATCATTTTCTTGGCAAGGGTCCAGGGACGTGTTAGCATTTATGTTTACAACATCATAGTTCTCTGACAAGAGTAAGGCTCTCTGATGATGATAAACCAGTTAAGAATGATGATGTCTTTGGCAGCACGGCACATAGTTTGGTCCTTAGCGGTTTGTGGAAAGTCGCAATTGGGATTATTGTGACATTTGTAAATTATTGGGGATATACATGGGGACCAAAGGACGGAACCTTTATGTATCATCTAATTATTTTCAGTATTCTTCAAACTTCATTCTTGATTCTTCAACTCAAAAAGTGAAGGTACCTTTTTACCGTAGTAGTTTACCCCTTTTGAAAATTGAAATGTCTCTATGATTCAGAAAATGAAAATGTTGAGTTCAGACTTGATGGTTTCATTTGATTGGCTACTACATTTGTAAGTGAAAAGGAAACTGTTGAATAAAGTTAGACGAGGCTTAATTGTCTGTTCAAGCTGGACCTACCGGTAAAAATCTCGGTTCTTCAGGACTTTTTTATACTCAGTGACTCAGTCATTCAGTCAGTCAGTCAGTCAGCAAGGGCGGATCTAGAGAGGTTACTGCCATGGGGGGGGGGGGGCTGAGGCTGTGCCGGGGGGAGAGGACTATAACTAAGTGAAAAATTGCCGCCTTTGAGAACGCGGTGCCCCCTCCGCACCCCCTGGATCCACCACTGGTCAGTCAGACTGAGACAGTAGGCTGGCCCAATGTTCAGGTCCAGCAAAACTCTTCCCTTTGGTTGCACATTTCTTCCATACTGCGTGCACTGTACTGTGGTCACCTTCTATCAGAGCAAATTCGGGTGAAGACCATTTATAGTTGACTAATGGTTGATTTGTGATGCTAGGTACGCCTGCGCACTCATAGCAACATGCGAACGCCTCTATATAGTCAAATGATGATCAAAATGTCATCACAAACTACTTGATCCTGGCTCCCTGCTGTGCATTATGATGCGCGCGGCTAGTGGTTACCAGTGATGGAACCGTGCCCTGTGGTCCGGTTCCTAATACTTGACTAGAGTAGCCCAACTATCCATCGTTCGAGCGAAATTTGTCAATCTATGATTAACAATGTTTCACGCTTGAACTCATAAATGTGGATATATGTCCACCCAAGCCTTCATTGGCCGAATAGCGCTCGTTACTGGTCATGCACAAATCAGATACTGAAAGAAATCTCAAATTTCACTCTGAGTTTCCGGCACTGTACTGCAAAGCAAAAAAAAAAACAGCGTGTCAAGACCAAATTCGATGATTACATGCATTCATCAAGTTCACTTCAAAATAAATAGTAGTCATAAAAAAGTCAAGGTTAGTGAGGAAAGAAGTCTGAAAACTAACTTTCTTATTCGGTGTCGATCCCTGAACTTTCAATCCGTCACCACCGAATGCCTGGATCGTTTCATTGGTTAATGGTCCCTTGGGTTGTGGGGCATTTTATCACTCTCCTTAACATTCTTTTTTGATTGTAAAACAGACATTAGCATTTGATAACGACAGTGACGTGAATGTCTGCAAAATGTTCCCAACACCTCACATAATTTTCTTTTGGAAATTGCGCTCATTGAAACTCTCCATATTGGACATTTAATCAGGATTTTTTTTCACTGAAAAAGTTCAAAATGTTTCTTGTGCAGTCAGCGAAAGTGTTAATTTAAACTTTTTTTGACTCCTTTTATTGACAACTTGACAAAAAGCTTTATGTTACTCTTTGGAATAAAAGTATGATTCCAATATTTTATACAGGAATGCCTTTCGCACAATATATAGCGATTTTGGAAAAGTATGTTTCACAATCCCTTTATTTTCATGCCTTCTTGTGTAATTTATGAAACTGATAAGACCCTTTTACAGTTTAATGTCCCTTTTTTCCCCCAAAAAAACCCCTTTCCACGATTTGATTCATTCTCCCAAGAGACATTAAACATGCTCTCGATCACAAATTTACCAATGAATTTGTTTTACATGCTACGATAAAATTCCCCAGTTACATTTGTAGACATCCTGGTCCAGAAAGTATCAAACCCAGCCCCTAGATATTTCTGTCCTTGATAGAAGCACTGTTAACCGACAACTTGGGGCCCGAGGGGCTCAGACGGAAAATACATCCACGATCCAAACCTCCAACGTCATGCCCTTAGGGGCTCCAGGAAAATTGGCCGGCTCATTGGACATACTTCCCAAGCAACTAAACCGCTAGGAATTTAACGATCATCTTTTTAAAAAAAAACTGATCGTGGACTTGAACATTCGGTAGTCAGCTTCTGAAGGGAGACACCGCTCCAATTTTTTGTTTGCCTGTAGAGTAGAGCTCTTTCACAGATTTCATTTTTGTTATTGATGTTTTGGAAGGATGCATTCGTCCAGTTGAGCTCGCATTTGGATGTGAGTTTAAACTTTCTTCAAAAGCAAGGAGTGTTTTGGGATGGGAGGCCTATGGTGCATCTTGAGTATCTTGTTTCAAGGATATTGAATCTTATTGATGTCTGGATGCTTTCCTGATCCGGTCCGGGACACTCGGAGAGGAGAGAGATGCATTCACGTTTCACAATAGGTGAGCAGATCGTTTTCACTTTCACAAGATTGACTTTCATTTTCAGTTTTGAATGTTGTTGAGATTTTATTTTTGTCTGCTCAAATCGAGAATTCAAGGGGCTTCCTGTGAAACTTCCTGAGATTTAAGTAAACTTTTGCCAAATATTTTAAAATTTACACTGCAAAAGAAGGTTTCTTAAAATCATATGCCATCTGGAAAAAGCTACAACTTGTAACCCCCCCCCCCCCCCACATAAAAATGCCCCTGATTCATTCTTGACAAAATGTGTGTCCTATTTTGGGGAGTGATTATGCAGTCGATGACTTCATCATAGCCAAGTTATGAAAGTCACGATGATTCAGTTTTATTTAATTGTAATTCAAGGTTTGTCTGTGTGAGTCAATTTGTTTTCATTATTTATAATTTTTAAACATGTTTCACTGGAATTTTCAAGTGAAGGCCATTTTGGTTTGGCTAAACATTCAATTTGAAATAGACATTAACAAATAAGAAGTGAATTTGTGGGCAACTTTGAACCTCTTTTTGTGGGGGAGGGGATGTTCAAAACGTTTGGCAACATTTTAGAAGCTAGTGAATCTAAAAAAGATTTTAAAGTGTGTGAAACTTTTTTTAAATTTAGTGCCAAGATGTAGGAATTTTCCTTTCATTTTTGAAAATTCTAGTCAATTTTTTTTTATCAAAGCCCATCCGGAGTGCCAAAAACATGGTGTTAGATGACCTACATGTATGGCCCTAATTTGTCTTGCAAACCTATGCAGCAACTCCAATCTGCTTGGGAAGAAAGAACGCTGAAACGTCGCCCAGTCAACTGCAACTTATTAATTACAGGATTTAGTATTCGTCCCCCTGGATTTGACACTCATGAAAGACATACATCCATCACCATGGAAACATAATTCGTGGTTTCCATTGGAAACCAGTGAAAAGGAAAACGAGGTTTACTAAAATGGGTGGCAGCATGGTCTTGAGGAAAGGGAGAAGTACGTGGGGGTCATTAAAAGTTACGCTTCAATAGAGAAATGCCCCCACTTTCATTAGCTCCAATTGTACTGTGGAAATGGTAGACTTATGATGTAGACTTATGGAAACTCTGTTTGATGACTTTTTGAGGGGTATGTAAGTATACATGTATTTTATTGACGGCTTTTATTTTAAAGGGAATATACATCATTTGCTTTTGCTGTAATTTTCAAAAATGGATGGAATTGGGGGGTTGGAAATATATAGCAAATATAGTTACACTGACTTTTTTGAGGTTTTGGGTTCGAAAATGCTATAAAAATCAAGAAAAACAATCATTTTCCTGTAGTCTGGTTCCCTGACTCCATAGAAGAAGAAACAGAGCAGTTTACATACATTGGGGAATTGTAAGGTCAGGGAACCAGTCTAGCTGGCTTGTACCCGTTCATAGGTGTGTAATCGATTGCAAACAAGTGTGGTGGTCAATTGGGGCCAGTATTTGAAATTGATACAAAAATGCCACTTTTCTTGAAAATGACAGTATACCAGGTGCCATGATTTTACAGGATGCTTTACACTGTCATTCACTAACAGTCCAGCAAGGTATTTCAAAATGATTTGGTAGTTTTATTTTTTGATGTTTGCAAATGTTGTATTTTCCCTTTAAGGCCTCTGAAGAACTTTGGGGTGCTATGATCAGAATGTGGGACACTTTTTTTTTCAGTAATTTGGTTTTTAGGGAGAATTGTCTTGTCAAAAGGCGTTCTGGCAATATGAGACAGAAGTGAGCAGAGGTTGAAATGAGAGTTTGTGGTAATGAGGAAAGGGAATAAAATTCTCCTTACAATACTGTTTGTTGCACTTCAATCAGACTTTCCATTGACAAGTTATAGCTGTTAACAGTTTGCATTTATCGACTTGTCAAAAAAGTAAAATACTGAGAAAAAAGGCCTTTGACGTTCGAGTTTTGCAGTTGTGACAATGGAAGATGCCAATTTGTTTCTCCCTCACATGTATTCTACGATTTTATACTATTTCTTTAAAATATGTGGCGTACAACTTATTACAAATATCAATAAATCTGAAAATCATGAAAATTTATTACTATATTTATTACTAAGTTTTTTTTACATTTTTCTCCACTATGGCCCGTGCCCAGGTGTCTCATTTTGCCAGGACCCTTCACAATCACATATTACTCAAAAACTGAGTTTTTACATGGATAGGAAATTATAATGGAAGGGAGTTCACGGGAAATGCAACAGGGTAATTTGATAAGACTTCAATGTTTGAAAGTCAAAATTACTATGAAGTACATGTACATGTACCTGGCGAAAGTAGCCTGTCCCTACCATTCCTTAAATGTCACAGTTCACAACCGCTGAGATTCCTACTAAAGATCTTGGCAATGAAGACAGGAAACAGTCCAAACCACACATCCAGAAACTGTTGGGCTATTGTAACACTGTGGAGCATTGAACCTCTACAAGTACAATCATGCTACACACCTGTGCGATACTTAATGTGTTGTAATCGTTTCACTTTTGACAAAGATCCAGTAAAGTAATGAAGGAAATCTCATACGTTAAGGTTTAGTTTCACAAAGCTGATAGTGAGAGCAAGGAAAGTTGGCACGCTGAGTTTTCGTGCTAAGCTACAATCAGCAGAGTACAGGTCCTTTTTATAGCTCCATGGTCTTATTAAGCAGAACCTCTCTCTGCTGAGCAAACTTTGTATGTACTCAGGAAAATGTTCCTGTGCTGGTAAACAAAACTTTTCTGTGCTAAGCTTGCAAAACTTGTCAGTCCTTAAAAGCTCCTAACATTAAGCAACATTTGTCTGTCCTTAGAAGCGCTTTCTATTAAGCACAACGTGTCTGTCCTAAGAAGCTCTTGCCATTACGCAAAACCTTGTCTGTTCTTAGAAGCTCTTGTCATTAAGCACAACTTGTCTGGCCTTAGAGGGGCCTCGTAGCTGAGCGGTAAGAGCATGGAGCTACGGAGTGGAAGGTTGGCGGTTCAAATCCCATTCAGACCAACAATTGGAAAACTCTCTCTGACGACCCAGCAGTAAAATGGGTACCTGATTCGTTCAGGGAAGGTAAGACGGCGAGAGGAGAGGACTGGGCACCGCCACTCATATGCCGCGCCCAAGACACAGTGGACCTCTAACATCCCACTGCCCCTACGGCCAATAATGGCTATGGGTACCTTTACCTTTACCTTCACCTTTGTCTGTCCTTAGAAGCTCTTGCCATTAAGCACAACTTGTCTGTCCTTAGAAGCTCTTGCCATTAAGCACAACTTGTCTGGCCTGAGAAGCTCTTGCCATTGAGCAAAACATCTCTGTCCTTAGAAGCTCTTGCCATTAAGCAAACCTTGTTTGTCCTTAGAAACACTTGCCATAAACCAAAACATGTCTGTCCTAAGAAGCTCTTGCCATTAAGCAAAACTTGTTTGTCCTTAGAAACACTTGCCATAAACCAAAACATCTCTGTCCTTAGAAGCTCTTGCCATTAAGCAAACCTTGTTTGTCCTTAGAAACACTTGCCATAAACCAAAACATCTCTGTCCTTAGAAGCTCTTGTCATTAAGCAAACCTTGTTTGTCCTTAGAAACACTTGCCATAAACCAAAACATCTCTGTCCTAAGAAGCTCTTGCCATTAAGCAAAACTTGTCTGTCCTTAGAAGCTCTTGCCATTTACCCCAACTTGTCTGTCCTTTAAGCTCTTGACATTAAGCCCAACTTGTCTGTCCTTAGAAGCTCTTGCCATTAAGCAAAACTTGTCTGTCCTGAGAAGCTCTTGCCATTAAGCAAACCTTGTCTGTCCTTAGAAGCTCTTGCCATTTACCCCAACTTGTCTGTCCTTTAAGCTCTTGCCATTAAGCCCAACTTGTCTGTCCTTAGAAGCTCTTGCCATTAAGCAAAACTTGTCTGTCCTGAGAAGCTCTTGCCATTAAGCAAACCTTGTCTGTCCTAAGAAGCTCTTACCATTAAGCAAAACTTCTCTGTCCTCATAGACGCTCCACAAAATTCTTCCCAGGAAGTGGTTTTGAATTCAATCATCGATTCACCTGGCCTCAGTTCCTTCACCTTAGTTTCGGTCGACACGGCTTGACCAACAGTATACGCGTGATTCATCCTGCCCCACCAACACACGGGACGTTCCTCTGACCGTTTTAAATGATCGTGATTGGACCAGAGGGCAGATAGCCCAGGTGTGCGGAATAGGAAGTTGTAAATTAATAATTGCTGCTTGTCACCAGAGGGTTTGACACCTCGGGCATTTTGTCCCTCCGCTTTGCCCGACCCCTGTTTCCTACAAATCAGGCATGTCCTGAATAAAGGATAGACGTCACAATCAAGTAGAAAACTTGTTTTTGACATGTACTGCAGAACTTCACAAACTTGCAGAAATGAATGTAGAATTCCGGAAATTCCTTCTTTTTTTTTTATTTATTTTCCCAACCAATCCCACCCCTCCATGAACCCCACCCCACCTCCCACCACCAAATGCTCTAGTTTTCTTGATGTAATATACAACATTTGTTTTTGCTGATTGCAAAGAAAATATGAACTAACTAAATTTGGTAAATTATAGGGGCAGTGTCAGTTTTTTTTTTCTCCAAAGATTGTCAGTTGACCATCGTTGGAAATTGATACAAAATGTTCACTTTTCCTGAAAATGACAGCACACCAGATGCCATGATTTCACAGTATGCTTGAGACTATTATTCACTTACAGTCAAGTAAGGTTTTTCATATTTCATAAAATAATTTGCTAGTTTTGTTTTTGATGTTTGCAAATGTTGTATATCACCTTTAAATATAGATCTACAATACTTTCTCCTAAATTGAATCCGATTTCTTCTCTATATATCCGTTCCTCTCCCTTCTTGCTGCATCATTTTATCTCAGATAGTTCTCTCTCCCTCTCTCTCCATTTCCTTGCCCCTCCACTGTCCAGTAACCTCCCTAAGAGCATCTCATTGCTCAGCATCCCCATCGTCGTGGCAACCTCCTCCCCTGCAGCCCAGCTCCTCTTCTTCCTCCTAACCTCATAAACAAACGTCAACAATCTCAAGTATGCAAGGTAATTTCAAGCTCCAGATGCAGCCTATATATAAATCCGTACGTTCCCCTTCTATCTCTTCCAGTTAAAAAATGACAAGGAGACAGAACACCTGATGTTTTTGTTCAGATTTTGTTCTCTTTTTTTTGGTCTTCTTTTTTCCTTCATCTTTTTCTGGTGATTTATTTACAGAGTTAAGATTGGGACATCCTTGGGTCTAGATTCCACATTCTTTGAAGGCATGTAGGCCAAGTGTCTTATCTCCTCTTAAACCTCATCCCAAGAGAGAAGGAGGAACTGTTTCCCACATGTGACCTCATAATTTAGATGAATAGGATAGTCCTTTCCTTTTAGGGGTGTGGTTTTTGCAAAGAGGGATTGGATGTGATGCCCAACCTCTTTATATTTTTTCCACATTTCTAGATTGAAAAAAAAAAATTAAAACAGAAAAATCATTGGCTTTAGAAAACTTATAATTTAGTCAAACTATTGTAACTCCTAATAGTATTGAGCATATTTATTTAACTTTTTACATCCCCCCCTTCTTTTTTTTGATACACCTTGCTTTGATTTTCCAATCGAGTTCTAAAATTACGTTTCGCAATGATGACCGTGATGATGGGTTCAGGAATGCATCGGCCCGACTCATCTGTTGCCATAAGTCATCTTCAAGACAGATGAGAAAAAATTTTCCGAGTCGTTTTGAAAGTTATGCAGCCGAGGCTTGGCGAAAAAAATGCCCAAGGTTTCATCGAGCGCTTTGATTTTGCCTTTGGGGATTGCGGGGGCCCTCTGTAATGCGACCGTCAGATGTCGCGCCTGAACGAGCGAGCTCGGCTTCTGAGAGATTGCGACCTTTTGAGGGCGCGACGCTTGTCTTTTTTTTTTTGCGAAGCAAGGATGGAAATTGGAATGCCGAATATTGGATGTGTGAAAGTTATGCACGCGGCTGTCGGCAACACTTGTGTCCTATAAAGGTGATGACGCGAAGACTTATTATGTCAGGCGCGACATTATTACCCCTGCTCATCATGTCTATAAATCATTTCTGGAATTTTCTCCCCAAGGAGTATTTCCGGTCCCCCAAATTTAATACAGTGTGTTCTGTGTATTGATCCTGAGTTTGAACTTTGGACTTCAGGTCCGTCTTCTGTTTACTGTCTTCCGTATAAATATCGCCTGCTAACGAAGCCTCAAATTGCCCGTTTATCATCTTTTACAACCCGAAATTGCCCAGCCCTCCCAATTCATTGCTTCCGCGAGGAATGATTATTTATTTGGATTTTGGTGATTTAATTGGTTTATGTGACCTTTTCGGGGAGCTCTGCATAATAATAACCAAGACTGGGCCCTCGTGTTGTGAGAATAAATAGATTGCTGATGATACGGGCGTCGGTTGTCTCAGACTGCTCTGGGCGTGTTGTCAGAATGGATGAGACCTAAGACATGAGATGGGCACAGGCAAGCCTCATCCCTGCTAATTTCATGGATTGTGGTCGATGCTCGGCTCAACATTTTGAACTGTGTGCCTGCAAGGGAAAATGTCAAAGTTATAAACAGGAGGATTGTGTCTTAAGTCGTTCGTGAACTTCTTCTGTTCAATTCTGTGTATTATTTATGGAAGAAACCAGTTCAATGTGTACACCACAAACTGAAAGTCTATTGTTGGGTCTTCGTCATCTTTATTTCATTCATTCATTCATTCATTAAGCTAAACACTTAAGTTACGTTCTTCCACTGTCTTCACAAAACATGGAACAAAGTTAATGACCTCAGAGAAGATCTATCTTCTACCATATGACCTCACTTTTCTTAAATTTGTTAGGCCCCCTCCACAAACCCCTCGCAATTTTCCTCCACACTTGCACGCCACTACTTATTGCACAAATTCTATAGAAATTCTGCCTAATGTCCCTAGATGCATTTAGCAATGCTTCATTACACGCTTGGCTGAGCGAAGTGTCACCTTCACAAAAACACCCTCATTTGTTACATAATCCTGAAAACATAAAACCTTCCGACTATAGGGTATAACCTTCCGACTCAACAGTAACAAAACCTATTTACCTGCCTGCTCCATTGACCCTCAATGGTACCGTTGCACCCCTGTGCGGATAATGGACAAAGCCTGTTTATAGTATAACTGTAACCAGCACATGTGTGTGCATAGGATCAAATTGTATTCCATTCACAGTGTGTAGGCCAGCCTTCTGTATTAATCGTGTAGCAGCGTATTGGTACACAGAGCTTTTATTTTGAAAGTGGGATCATCATCGGTGGTTTTGGACCATTTCCCTTTGTTGAAGTCTTTTTGGAGGTCTAGCTATTTGCCGTAGAATTGTAGTAAAAGATTCACTCTTTCAGCATTTGGTTGGCATCTCTGGGAATTAGAATCTTCTGTATTTGAGGTAAGTGCAACTATGTTTTTTCTCGGGTCAAGTTTTAGTGGGAGTTGACTTTGCTTCAGGCAAATGACCATATTAACTATAAATATAAAAGGAGACAATGTATTTTCTCTGGGTGAAAACTTGTTTTGTTCTTCATGTATTTTGGTAGGTGTACGACTGTACGCGTAGGCCTACATGTACCTCTTTTCTGATGCGATCATTGATGTACATGTTTATACATTGCTCCATTTTATAGCAACAAGGTTGTACATTAACCAGATGGCCATTATGACTGCACATGGTGTGGCATCAGTCTGTGGTTTCCAGCATAAACCAATAAAAGGCACTTTGGTACAGTCAAGACAGACACTTGACTCATTGTTACACCTTGGCAAAAAAATGACCATGAATATAAGGAGCCTCCCTTGTGGGTATGACCAAGGTAAAAAGTCAAAGGTCACATGGTTTTTGTTGTACTGTGGGCACTGTGAAAAAAATGTTAAGGACACATGTTGAATGTACATGGATTTGTTGACATTCGTTAATACATGAAGGAGTGCTCAAATTTTGGATTGGAATACATCTGTTTGCTGTCTTTTCAATTAGTGAATACAGTGTTTAGTTGTTTGTACACTTCACATTTGAAACATTTAAAACTTAAAAATCTATAATGCTACATTGCAATTTTAACTGATTAATTTGACTCTTTTAAAGGGAATATACATCATTTGCTTTTGCTGTAATTTTCAGAAATGGATGGAATTGGGGGGGTTGGAAATATATAGCAAATATAGTTACACTGACTTTTTTGAGGTTTTGGGTTCGAAAATGCTATAAAAACCAAGAAAAACAATCATTTTCCTGTAGTCGGGTTCCCTGACTCCATTTAAGAAGAAACAGCAGTTTACATACATTGGGGAATTGTAAGGTCAGGGAACCAGTCTAGCTGGCTTGAAACCGTTCATAGGTGTGTAATCGATTGCAAACAAGTGTGATGGTCAATTGGGGCCAGTATTTGAAAAAAAGCCAGTTTTTCCCAACGCTGGTCGGCCGACCAGCATTGGAAATTGATACAAAAATACCACTTTTCTTGAAAATGACAGTATACCAGGTGCCATGATTTTACAGGATGCTTTACACTGTCATTCACTAACAGTCCAGCAAGGTATTTCAAAATGATTTGGTAGTTTTATTTTTTGATGTTTGCAAATGTTGTATTTTCCCTTTAAAACAAGTTGGCTGGAATTGTCAACTTTTCTTTTAACTAGAGTGACAACTGTGTTTCAAGTAACAGCTGTCAGTCCTAATCTTCCATGCACAAAGTAACAACATAAGTGGCAGAAATTGATTCTAAAGTTAGAGTTTTAGTCATTGAAGTACCACGTCTCTTGTCTATACGATCGATCGCCGTGACAACATTTACCAATGACGCCAGTACCACGCTAGGATTTCTACTCCAAACACATGTCCACACATACTCAGGAAGTTTGCTAGTTTCCTGACCCCAGCGATTGTCGTCAGACCGTACAAAAACCTGCCAGGAGGCACAGGTAAATGCATCACACCTGAACTGTCATTGTTGATAAATTAAAGGGCCGGGCTTCTCACAGGTGATATAGGATTTGTGCGTGACAGATCGAGGGCGCTATTTTGGGATATTGACAAAACAAAATGGATGCAGTTTTAAAATATTTAGAAGTCTTCAAAATTTGTTACATTCAAGAAAAAAAATCAGTTTTATTTGCAGCTTTAGTGCCAAAAACATTTCGGTTTTTTGACTGAAAATTAGTAAACGTTTACATGTAGATCCAGCGATCAAGTACGGTAGCCTAAGTGGAAAAATATGTTGCAACCTGACGCCACTTCAGCAGGTGTGTACAAAGTCTATGGAGAGTCAATAAAATTTGTCTTAGTATTTCCTAACAAAATTGGAAATGTTTCTCAGTCCCAGATTCATGTCTTATCATCATTTTTGCAATAACTGACCTTCATTAAGATGACATACATGTATGAAGAAGAAAGTGGCGTCAGGTTGCAACATTTTTCCGGCTAAGTTTCAGTGTGCAACATCAAGTCACGAATGTAAGCACATTGGGCTCAAGGGTTATCATGTTAAGCTTGCAAGATATATGCCGTTCAAATCAAATCTGTGGTCAGCTGTCTGAAAAGTGGTCATCGGTCATTCTCTGCATTGGTCAGTATACAATACATGTAGTCTGACCATAGAGACCATGGTCTGGTCTGACCACACCAAATACCCTGGACATATTACAAGATAACAAGTGATAGGCAAACCAATGCTGACCACAGAATAAATATACAGGTGATAGCCTGTAGGGTCTGCAAATGACAACAAGATAAGATGAAGATTTATGAAAATGAGACGTGTACTGGTAGGAAATGTAGAAATCCCTTGCAGTGGGAAAACAGCAGCTGTGATTGCCTATTATCTGTGATTGTATAATTTAGACGTGACCTGAATTTTAAATGGTAACTTAGTGGATATTCATTGTGCAAATTACATGTAAATGGAAATATGAACCTTTATTTTAATTGCAAACAAAGCTTTTAATATTTAAAATGGCTTTTTGTGCATATTCATGTC